ATCCCCAGCACACTGGACACCCTGGGAAGAAATAATAAATTGAGACACTATGTTAAATAGAAACATAGGGGCTTGGGGGTATTTTTGTTTTTTATCATGACCTTGGCTAATGCTAGTTCCAACTTTATCAGTGGGGAGAAAAAAAAACATTTTGAATGGAGCATGTATTCTTTTCATTTTCAGTCTGCACTTGAAGCAACCAAGAGACTCCCTTCAAAAAATGTCCACTTTATCTTCAGTCACATGCTTAAGAAACATTTCATTAATGCAAGCAAGCTGCTTTCAAGGTTATCTTTTTTTTTTTTTTTTGCCACATAACCAGTAATATTTTGTATAAAAAAAGACCCCATGTAAAATTCTGCCATGACCACAGGCATTAGAGACTCCAAGGACAACTCACCTACGGGTAATTCAACAACTGGAATGCTCAATTTCCCATCTCAACTTGCTCATCACAAAGCAGCGCTAAATGCAATTGCTGAGACAATACGGTGTGCCATATGGCTCAAAGTGGATATGAAAATTGAGAATATCAATTACCAATCCACTAATGCTGAGAGCCAAAATCCATGGACAGTAAGAATTTAATCCAATTCAGTGCCTAGAACACGAGCTGAGCCCGGCGTGGAGGAGACAAATCTACTGCTGGTTTCACAGAGCTCAAACAACTCCCATTTTTTATTGCAGTAACTACAAAACCAGCTGAACCAAACACTTGCTTAACATCCCCAACCACAGCTCCAGGCCTGGTAGGAATCTACAAAAACAACAAAAGTTTCAGATGAATTGGCATCTGGTTTCACAGGGATTGAGAAATCATAACTAAGTTACTATTTAAGAAGAAGCAGTTTAGTTGTTTTCCACATGACCAAATCGAAGCTCCAGGAAGTTACACAGTGCAGCCAACATCTTGCTTCACTTCAGGAAAAGGCATCCTACAAACACAAAATCTATTCCTACTATAATTAAAGGGCCTTGGAATTGCATTAGTTGAAGGGTTTTCTTATTCTAAGTAAAGTCGTTTAATGGTTCAAGCTTTAAAATTTTTAATAGCTGTGGAAGGTTTTTTCTGGGATGATATTAAGAATAATGCTACATAAAATTCTATCCACTCCCTGATTACACAGAACTTCATTGATTACTTACACAAGAATCCTCATTAAGTCCAAATACAGCATCTCCACATTTCCATGAGACATGGAGGTGATTTAAAAAAACTGTTCTGCTACGATTTCCTGTGGAATTTTAATTTACCATGTTGCCAAAGATTTCATGCTAGGATGCCTGCTACGTACTGACTTAGCATATGCAAGGACTCAACAAGGATAAATGTAATTTATCTCACCCAAAACAGAATCTCACTTCACTCTGTTCCTTTCTGATCCTGTACTAAAGGGCCAAAGTAGTAGAAACAAAAAAATTGCACAAGTAATTTAAGGTTTAGCAGGATATTAACATCAGTGGAACTAAACAGTTTATTGGACAGTATTCTTAATTTTTAAAAAATGTTCTCAGAGGAATAAAATGCACTCAGCTAATTTCAGCTTTTTTTTTTTAAATTAAGAATAACACCAGCACTGCAAGCCTCAACTGAAAATCAGCTCTGCTGCTCCCAGCTTCCTTCTGCATGAGCTACAGCTGGGTTACTACAATAAACTAACAAACAACTGATTATACATTAAGTAATAGATAAACAGTAGTAAAATGTTTGATAATATCAAAGGTTTGGAGGTCACTTGAATACAGGAGACATAACAAGCATTTCTTATTTTTCTTGCTGGGAAGTGTATTGTTTTAAGCCTGAGTCCAGTATATCAAATATTAACCAAGCTATTTTATTTAGGCTACCAAAGTTAAGGTGTTTGGCACTGTAGTGAAATATCACAGGAGCTACAAATCAAAAGTCCATTTTTCTCAAAAGATACTAAAAAACCACACGTAAAAAGCTTTAGAAATTTGCAGTGTTGTTTTGAAACAAGACTACTCAGAGCTGTTTTAAGACCCCCCCCCAGCCTTTCTTATTCTCACCCATTAAATGAACAGTTATCCAGAGGATGGCAGCAATTCTGGGTCAGCAGCAGCCTCAAACCCTCCACAAACTGGGAGTGTTCTGAAGCAGACAGCAGACTTGTGTCACACAAAGACACCTGTCTGCACAGGCTCTGATCTGAGCTCACCTGGCCAGCAGAACCCACGGCCCAGCAGCCTTTGTGTACTGCTCTACGATTAAAAACTGCTTTTTAGCAACAGGCTTAATAAAAGCCAGGGACATTTTGGTGGTGTTAAGCAGGCACTGCAAGGTAAAAACGAAAATTGTGTCACCCCTTTATTCAGTTAAGAGCCTATGTGAAAATTTCAATAAAACTATTTACTCCTCCCACCTAGTTCCTATCTGGAGAAGCTCACAAAAATTAAGGAAAAAAAAAAAAACCCACAGATTTCTCACAGCAATCTTCCAAACGCTCCTCCTACCCCCACCCCAGAAAAGAAGAAAGCAAAGAGAATGAGAAAGTAAATCTAAAACACAATTACGAAATAAGATCTAGTTTGGCAAAGCTGGGGTGAGGAGGAGTTGAAAAATGAGAGCTGCCTTGCTGCAAACGCCATCTTGTTGCAGCTACTGGGCCCAGGCACAGAGAGATCCATTCATTCACAGCAGAAAGAAAATCAAACAGACACCCTGGCTAATCTGCAGCCACCAAAACAACCACACCATTATCACCCCTTCTCCTTCTCCTCTGCTCAAGCACAAGGGAGAGGAATAAACTCTGATCTAGCACGTTTAGGGACGGATTTAGGTATTAACATATTATCTTCGTATTTCACATACACATCGGCAGCATTTTCTCTTGATTCACATCCTCGTGTCCAGATCGGCTTAAAATATGGGATAAATGTCTCACGATTAGGTGCAGATATCCCACAGCAGCAAAACGTTTAATTTTTCAGTCTTAAATCGCCTCCCCAAGTTGAGCCAACTATTCTCAAAAGCTGTTTCAATAATCACTTAAGCCTCACATTTACAGTGCTTTCCTATTTCCTCCTGTGGAGACAATACATAATAACGTGGCAGTCGGCACATCCTAGAAAGGATGCCTGGTTTAAAACGAGTCCCAGCCATGACTTTGTTAGAGAATAATGAAATATCACATTCGTTAAAATTTCAGTTCATCTTCAGGAATGATAAATTGACATCTTACAACAACCTCTACATCATCCTGATTTTCTTCTGGACAAGGTTTTTTTGTTAATAAAACGCCTCATCTCTTTCATATTTACATGCAAAGGCTTTACACATCTTCGTTCCCTACAAAGCTGTAGGATTAAAAACCCTACACGTTCAATATCCTTTGCATGGATTAAATAAAAAATAAAAATGCTGAAGTCCTTTCGATAAAAAGCTCGGAATTGAAGCAATATTTTAAACAGCATTTCCAAGGAGAAAACTCCATCTTTCTATTGTAGCAAACACCCTCCATGATCTTCGTTATCGCTGCTACGGGCACACAAAAATATGCAGCACCGTAATACATGGGGGAACAAATATGCGGTTTGAATCCATCCTCGGTTCCGGTTCTAACGAGAACAAAACCTTCCCTACCCCTCCCTCGCCCAGCACACCCAGCATGAGCCCCATCTGCGAGCCCTCGGCTGGCCGGGGTGCTGCAAGCAGCCTTACCCTGTTTGTCTCACCCCCGGCTCCTCTTAATCAGTTTTCCACCATTACAGCAGCCACACCATTGCCTTTTTTTTTTTTTTTTTCCTTTCCCTTGGATCTTTCTGCAAATATTCCCTCTGCCGGCTGGATCGCTCCGGAACTCGCCTTTTGCGGCTCAAGACAAGACCCCAAAACCGTCTAGCAGAGACCCCTACAGCGTAATTATAATTAAAAATGGAACCCCGCAAGATCCGAGGTCTCCTCCCTTTTCGCCTGGAAGCCTTCGAGAGGGAATCAGTCCCACCCCCACCTTTTTTTCCCCTCCTCCTCCAGCTACAAACACACTTCTTTTTTAGGGGAGGCTGGAGCCCCGAGGAGGTGGGAAGCGCGGGGGAGGGGGGCTATTTCCAACCCCGCCATACCGGGGGTCGCCGAGCACGGGGGCGACGAGGAGGCGGCGGCCCGGGGGGCCCCCGGTGCGGCGGCGGAAGGGGAGGACGAGGCAGGAAAGGAGAGAGGGGAAAGGAGAAGTGCGGCAGGAGGAGGAAGCGCGGGGGAGGGGAAGGAGCGGGGCTGAGGGGGAGCCGAGGGAAGATGGCCCCGGGGTGGGGCCGGCCGGGGCTCGGCGGGCGGGAAACGCGCTCTGAGGGACCCCCGCCCCTCCCCGCACCCCCCCACACGGTTACCTGCCCTCCCGGCCGCTGCTCATGAACCGGGCCGGTCCGTCCGCCGCCCGCGGTCCTGCCCGCGTCCCGCCGGCCTGGGGAGGGAAGGGGGGCGGAGGAGGAGGAGGAGGCGGCGGAGGAGGAGCGGGGGAGCCGCCCGCGATGCGCCCGGCGGGTCCCGGGGAAGGCGGCAGAGCCGAGCGGGAAGGAGGGATCCGCGGGGGAGACGGGGGGGGGGGGGGGGGGCGGGGGGGGAGGGGGGGGGGGGGGGTGTCGCTGGGGCTCGACTCCTCCTCAGCCCGCTCAGCTCCCCGCAGCCATCGGGCAGCGGCAGCCTGGGCGCGGCGAACCTCCCTCCTTCCCCTCCTCCCTCCGCCCCGCCCGTGCTGCCCGCCCGGGAAACCCCGGCTCGGCTCCCACCCCGCCCCGGCCCGCCGCCCCGCGCGGCCCCGCCG